AGCTTTATTACAACTATCGGGTTTTAGCCTTGAGATTAAATTTTGCCCGCCCACCCACTTCCGAGGCAGTCTTGTCTAGTTTTGTTATTGTTTTTATTGTTATAAGGGGCTATTAATTATCACTAGTTATTAATTTATGTACCAGAGGAATTATTAGAATCAAAATAATGATGTATTAAGTTAATGTAGTTTATATTGTAATAAAGGCTGCCAGATCCCAAACTTGAGTCTGCGTAGTGGTTTAGTAGTCTGAGATTACTCAAGCTCAAAACTGAAGGGCAAAAAATATAAACAGAGCACCTTGCTGACAAGGTGCAAAATTGAAATCAAAATTCTCGCTAATCCTGTATTAGCTTAATTGGCCTTTGAACAACCCGGCCCTGGCTAAGCACGCTGAAATTTGAGACCTTTACATGAAGAGAAATTTTGTCCAGGCTGTATTTGTTTTCAACCCGGGTTGAAATTTCCAACTCAGTTGCTGAAACCGGACTAGAAATTTCAGCTTAGGCTGAAAGGCTGAAAAAACCTCGTCTAATTGCATCGAAACGTGAGCTTGGGCAGGCACATTAGTGGTCTATTAAAAAAAAAAACAATGGTGGCAATAGGTCAGATTAAGTCGATGCTCAAAGCAGCACAAACTCGCCATGTAATTGCAACAAAATGTCATCCCAGGCTGAAATTTGCCATGTAATCAGCTCTCATAGTATTGTGGCTCTAGAAATTAATTGAGTGTAATGCTTTATGTAAATATCAATGCTGCGTTTTACAACAAGTTCTAAACATGAGAATAGAATGTGCAGAATTTTCTAAATGTATAAAATATTATGAGCTGATATTATAAACTTCCTTACTAATGGCATTTGCACAATGCCTTTACCTTTGACAGAAAATCCTTTAGCACCTTGAGATGCAAACATTGTACAGCCCTGATCAGCAGCTGAATTTTCTGTCCAGTATCATTACAATGATCAAACGTACAGGTCATGTTATATTATAAAAGTGAATAAGACAAAATGCAAGAGACATTGAACCAATACAGTATTAAAAGAGAATTTTACTTCTAATGTGACATTAAGGTTTAACTATTTTCAAAATTTCCATACCATAGTTTGTCACAAAGTACAATGTATCCAAGTTTGTAGCAGAAATTACAGAACTGAGTTTTTTGAAATATTAGTTGAAATGTACATTTTGAAGCATTGAAACAAAATAAAAATCAAACTTGAGAAATATCTTATAATTATTCATACCACTGTCCTCACAGCGGACTTGTATACCCATGTAAAGGTAATAAATTAGCACAAGACTATTTGCAAATTACACCACCAGAACCAATATTCGTGAAAATCTCCGAAAATATCAATGGTTTCAAACTTTTAAAGCATCAATTCAGCCTTCTATAAAATCTGTACCATAAGACACACAGTTAACTTTAAAGACGTTAACAATGCTCTCTTGGCTGGGCACATCTCATTTACGCTTACTCATAATTTGTAGTAACTGGTTAAAAAAGCTCTTTCGTTCCTCCTTCATCAACTCCATCTTTTCTCTTTCGTTCTCCTCACGTTGCTCTGCGTAAGATAACAGGAATGTCAACATCTCTGCGGCCAAAGATTTTGATTTTCTTTTCCTTTTCCGGCGTTTACAGCCACTTCCAGTGGTTTTTCGTTTTGTTGTACTAGAGCTCTCGGCCGCGGAACATTGGTCTTCATCATCTCCACTTTCCTCAGAGTCTTCGTCCGCAAGGACGTCTGCAGTGCTGCTGCTGCTCTCCAAAGTGAACTTCGGTCGTACATTTGGATTTCCCCCGATACAAGACTCCATTTCATGGAAGTATTTCCAAGTTTTCTTGTCGGCTCTTGTGGTGTTGTTGTAGTCCGTTATCTTCTTGTGGGAAGCTTCAAGCTTGAGCCACTTACGACTACACTGCTCCCCCGTGACCTTCACGTCAGTAGAAATACTATTGAACTCATTGGCAATTCTGTTGAATATGTCCTTTTTCGTTGTAGCTTTCCCTTTTCCGAATTCAAGCCTCTGCTTTTGCCAACGACTGAATAGAAGTTTTACGTGAAAGTCCTCCCATCGTTCAAGCATCTAGTGTGATAGACCTGTGAAAAAACATACAAAATGTTTAAACTGGAGTAGCTTGTTACAGCCGCAATTAGGAATAGTATTAAAAATGTCTAAATGTACGTCCATCATCATCCTTTTGGGCGTCTTGTTGCAACCCCACCGTTTTTCGCCTTCTCTCCTTTCTGCCATTTTTACAACAACGCTAATTTTACAGGTAAGTCAGTGAGCACCCGCTCACAGGACATTGGAAATAGCGGGAAAAATCTTGTCGTCATGCAAATGGAACGGCATGTTTCCGTTCCGATCAGTTGCAACGAAAAAAGTGGAGCAGCTCCGGAAAATTTCCTCTGGAACCTCGCGTTCCATTTGCATTTCAACCGGTTGAACCGGAAATTTTGGCCAAATGGAAAGCGCCCCTGGTCTCTAACTTTGACATCCATTTCCTTCTCACCTAGACACTGGATAATGTCCCCAGTATAGCTTTTCAAAAGCGCTGTAGGCAGATGACAAAAGCCATTGAGAACATTTGTTGCAAAACAAGGAATGTGTGACCTTGACACAACGATCTTATAAACTGTTTAGATCCAGATATTCTACAGCTCTGTATCTTAATAGAGCAATCATAAGAAATGACCCGTTTGATAACAGCATGAGGCAGTTTAGGAAAGCTGCTATAGGCAATTTATTTTAGATAACTATGGGTAGTTGGGAAGGGGCAATCACAAAGTTTTGCCATCCTGTAAAGTAAGGCTAGTTTGCGCCAAGTTTCCCTAATTAGCTGCTTTCATGCAAAATCCTATACAAGTTAAGTTTTAAAATTTGAAAACGTCATAACTTCTTTAGGATTTAATGAAATTCTTTGATTTTTGGAACGGTGTTAGATGTTGGCGCTGTTCACCTACTGTAAAAACTTTAGTCGATTTGGTTGAAACCTGTGGAAGTTAAAGTGATTTGAAAATCTAACCGCAGGGAAATCACCCATGTTTGGGAGAATCAGATAGGTAAAGTCCATTTGAGCCCATTCTTAGGGGATCGGTGTTATATTTCACCCTTAGTATATGATAGTTAGACCCCATCCTAACTAAATTTTCAAGTCCAGATCATATCTAGTGGCTCTATTTTAGCTTTTGGTTCGTTTTTTTTGTACCGCTGTCACTTTAAAAGGTATAACTCATGTAAAATAAGGAGTTAAGAAACGAAAAAATTCAGGCGTATAGAAGACAAGTTCGAGTATTTGTCAGCCAAGTTTCAGAATTTTTCATTGAAACAAACTGTTGAGACCTTTTCAAAGGTCAAAATTAGGGGTTTTTGAAGTGTAGGGAGATGACCCAAGCTGTTTTTACCCGGGTCAAGCCATTTAACTTTGTAAAAGTGCCAAAAAAGGAACAGCCCCAAGTAAATGTTGGCTTTTTATATAATCTAACACAGGTTTTGTTGCCAAACTTTCTATTCCCTCTGTGCAATCCAACCCTAAAGGAACGAAATGTAGGGAGATCACCATTTTGGATGTTTTTTGCCCTCTCTGCACCAAAGATAAAATAACTTCATGTTGTTTAAGACTTAATGACTCATGTTTTCACGGACTTAAGTTAAAGTGCTAGTAATTACTATTCATAAAAAAAGATGGAATTGATGACTATACAGTGATTTTCTGTGAAGTTGAAAAATGCACCTGTTAACTCTTTTCATTGGACTGTTTTTCGTCTCTTATTTTTAAAAATGCATAAAAAAATTTGAATTTTACTGCAAGGTTCTCACATTTCTCTGAGTTACAGACCAGGCGTCAAAGAAGAGGGGAGTATTATGTTTTGGATAGCTACTTCTTCATGATATACAAGAAACGAGATCAGAGAAAATGATAAAAAAAATCAGAGAATAAAGACTTTGCAAAAGTGGGGAGATCACCATATTTTGATGTGTGAGATACTGCGAGGTCATATTACAGTTCAAAGCGCAACTTTTCCCGTGAGTGCACAGATTGTAACCTTAGGAACAAATAACACAACTCCCATTTCTTCACTAATATGTTTAGAACAAAAAATTGTAATTCTTGAAAATGTAGGGAAATCACCCAATTTTTTTTAAGTTGGGAAATAACGCTAAAACTTTGACCAAAAAGTACCAAACATTATGAAACTTAATAGCAGTAACGTTCTTAACATTGGTTATGGTCCTGTCAAAAGCCCGTCAATATCTTTTATCTAAGGTGTGAAATTAACATGGAAACATAGTGAGTGAAAGGAGAGAGGGACACTTCAGTGCAGATTATATGTGGTATCATGTCTGCGGCATCCCTTGACCTTGACAGTGCTTTTAGTGAAGATTCTATGTCAATATCTTGAAAGTTTTTTTTTCCATCTTAACCTTCTACTGATATTTGAGTGAGACACATGATGAGTACATTTTCCAAGTCCTCAGAAGTGTGAGTACAGCTTTTTTGGCTCTGTAATTTTAAGTGTTTAACACCTTTTCAAGACTAGGTAGAACTGGTCCATCTATGCCAAGAGGTGCATAAGGTCCTAGGGCATCTACACGTGAGGTTTACTGGCAAGATGACGTCGGTTGTACCTAGGCAACATTTCAAGGTAAGGGTGCGCTCCAGGGGGGGAACTCAAACTTAACCCTTTGGACCCCAGTGTCCGATATATCGGACAGCAGAGTTGTCCGCAGTTATTTTAGGTCGTCACTTGTTTCCATCCGCCAAACTGATGTGACGTCATCTGATCTCCGGCAAACATCTTCGGTTTACGCGCCGGCTTCCTATCGTAAAAACTAATATGGTGGATGATCTTCTGTGGGTCCACGTGTGTCCAGCAGATTATTTGTGTTTTTCTGTGCCCATAAGCAGGGTCCTGATTTTTTTCAATAAACCTTTCAAAACTTAGGGTAAATTGGACAAGGGTAAAGCTATTTTATACCCTTAAAGCTTGCCACCGTGGAGAACGTCAGTTTGATGGATGGCGTGAGATAGCGTATCTTTCCATCCATGAAACTGACGTTCAATAACAGGCGAACGCGCACGAAAATTGACGATCATATACCGAAAACCTGTCTCGTTAATTCCGAAGATACTCCCGCTAAACATTGTTGTTTGGCGGGCATTTTCGAAAGGAAAATAATAAAGTTTCCGGGTGTATGAGATCTGGAAGTTGACTGCTCGGTTCATAGTACTCAGCACAAGTCGTTTGTTATGGCTTTGCCGGCAAATGCGCAAGAGGGTAGCGGCACAGCTGAAGGCATATATTTAGAAAGTGAGAAAGACAGTGCTACTGTATGTACTTGGCAAGCGAAGTTAAGAGGATCAACGAACAAGTTTGTTGGCTATGTTGGATCAGTTGAGGAAGCCATGACTGTAATAAGACAATATGAACTGGAAGCAACAACAAAATTCTCTTGTTTTAAATCAGACAAAATGTTTGGTGCTGGAGGTAAGATAATTATGAAGTAACAAAATAATTATGCACTTATCAACTGAAAGCCGACCCCCCACCCCCGGGCCAAGGTGGGGGAACAAAGGGTGTTTGATAAAATTTGACAGCATGTTTTGCCGTTGGGGGCTGGGGATTTCTCAAGATTTGCCATGTTTTATTTTTCTCCTGCAGGACTGTAGGTGGGGGCTTTAAAAGTTTAAGTGCCCCCTCATGGGGGTTAATCACCATTGTAGTTGACCTGAAGTCAAATCCCCACCCTGTCCTGGGGGTGGGGGAGGGGGGATTTCAGTTGACAAGTGCATAAACAATAAGTTGGTCATAAAAAGATTATAATAAACAATGCTGTGATCTTAGAAATTTTTCTTTTGTTGGGGGGGGGGAGAGAAATATGCTGGAGTAGAATGTGCATATTCTAAACACAGTGGTATTCATGGCATGAACAATTTCTGAACCAAAGACATGAAATACCGTAAAATTCCGAAAATAAGGCCCGGGGCTTATATTTTTCAAAGGCCCTTTTTGAGGGGCTTATTTTTGGAGGGGCTTATATTCGGAGGGGCTTATATACGGGAGGGAAATTTGCGTTTCAAAATCGATTGGGCTAGCCTTATAGTTAAAAGTAAATTTACCGTTTTTGCTTTGTTTTATTTTGTATTTGAGGGCAATTTTCCAAGTAAAAGCCCCCGGGGGGCTTATATTTGGAGGGGCGATTTTACGGAGGGTTTTTTGCGTTACCAGTTTGGGGGGCTTATACACGGAGGGGCTTATTTTCGGAATTTAACGGTATCTTTAAATCTATGGTTGACTGAGTACTATCTGCAAAGGGTGCATGTAATACATTGGCTTGACTGTGGTGTAGGTTGCATACCAGATTACAATCAAAATTATAATAAACAAGGCTATGCTCTAAGAAAAAAAATTCGGGGAGCCCAAAACACTAACCCTTTGACATTCTGGCTGCCCAGCATAGTAATTTTGGGTAAAAACTAAGATTGCCTTCCTGCCGAAAAGCAACAGTAAGTCACCAGGGCCTTCTGAGGACTGCTAGAGTACAGCCCTAATAAACATAATACAGACTTTCCTTGTTTCTATGACACAGATCCCTTTGCCAAGCAAAGAAAAGTCTATTTCAAAGATGACAAAATTCCATTTGATGGAGTACCATTCAGTATAATTGGCACCAAGGTATTTGACTGCCAACATGGACCAGACAGGAAAAAGTCATTTAAAGCGAGACATTCTGAAGAGAAGGTATGTTGGTCATGACTAAAAAATATCTGCATTTTCATTTCACAGCCACAGCCTTTTTGGTGCTTTTAGCACTAAACTGTAAGGAATCTATAATATTAATCTTCTAACTACAGGTTGATGATCACTCATTCAAAAGGAGGAGGTTTCTACCTCAAGACACAATGAAGTTTGGCTGCCCTGCAAGTATTCGTTTATCAGAAGTCATAAAGTATTGCAATTACAACGTACAAAACCACCATCACAATAGTGATAATAGCAATTGACATTATACTTCCGCTCAGTAAAATACATCCCTTCATTTCATAACTTATACTGTACTGTCTCTTAACTCTATTAGATCAGGGATGACACAGAAAGGCTAAGAAGGGACATGTCCAAAAAGCTGAAGACTGATATAACCAGCGCACAGAAACCCCAAGTGGAACGCAGAATTTATATCCAATTACCAAAGGAGGATGAACACAAAGATCACATCACTGGAGAGGTCTGTTGATGTCAATGGAAAGAACTGGGACACTACCTTAACTTGAGAACAATAATATTAACTTTTGTTTTTGGTTCTTTTTGTTTGAGTAATAGTTGAAGGCTTACGGAAAAACACTTTGAATGGGTGGGACAAGAGTTGAGTCATTTTCATATAAACCTTCTAGTTTTTCATGTATAAATCATTATGGTAATTATAGTTTCGGACAGGTATTACTTTCCTATGAAAAGGCAAGAAGGCATGTGAAAGAAAGTCAAGTCAGACCTTCCACTCAAAGGCTAGGTCAGAAAGTACAACAGGTGTATTGGTGGCTACATGCTATGTAGTGGTAACAATCATAGCCTAGGTCTGTAAATGAAGTAATGATCATGATAAAAGGTCCAAGTTGTGTCTAGGACTAAAATAGAAGCTGATAAAAAATAAACAAAATTGTCTAGGAATTATTATTTCAACTGATTTGTTGCTATTCTATCCAAATAATTTGTTTTTTGAATGTTGTTGTTGACAGAAGTGACATTTCATTCATTACATGTAAGTGTACATTGTACCAGCAGTGCCTACAACTATCAGCATGGCTGTCAAAATATTTCTGTCAAAAATGTAATTCCATTTTCATTTTTCTCCTCATGTATCAAACAACCAGATTGGTGGCATTCTGCAGCCCATCAACATCGGCAAAGGTGTGAAAACTGTGGACAAAATGAAAAGACATCTTAGGCAATTCGTAAAAACTGAACTATTTCCAGGGCAATCTCCACCAGCATCAACAAACAGGCGCTATTATCCAACAGATGTGGACATCAGGAACCACATGTATCAGGCATCAGTAAAAAAAATCCTGTCCAAATCTGATCAGGAAAACCTTGAAAAGAAAATTGAAAATTGGTGTCAGGAGAACCCACCAGGCTCTTTCTATTTTAGACCCTGTCCCCTATCAGCCTCATCAACAGCTTCTGAAAGCATGAACAATGAGGAAACACATCAAAATTGTGTGCGAGATTATCTTTTGTTTGCTCATCAAACAGCCTGGCACAAGCAACTCATGATCTGTTACGGAAATGAGATCACCCTGCTTGATGCAACCTACAAGACAATGAGATATGAGCTCCCTCTATTTTTCCTAGTGGTAAAGACAAATGTAAATTACATAGTTGTGGGGTCTTTCATAATTCAACGGGAAACTACAGCCTCCATACAGAAAGGACTAGGAATCTTCCATGATTGGAATGCCAGCTGGAAGCCCCAATTTTTTCATGACTGACTTTTGTCATGAAGAGATCCACGCAATTGAGAACACATTCACAGGTACGGATGAATCAACATTGGGCCAATATTCTCAAAGTGTGAAACTAAATGTAAATAAAGACTTGTACATTCAAGCAGGGTGCAAAGAAAATCATTTTTACAGCTTGCCATTCAAGTATTCAAGAACATGTAGGCAAACAAGATTTTGAAGGAATAAGTAACAATTTCTATAAAATTGTAAGTTAACCTTGATCCTCCCTAGTGACTGGAAAACCAGGCCAAATTAAATATGACTTTAGGCATTCAGTTACAAATCTGGATACTTCCTAGAGGGCGAAACCTTAAAGTCAAGCTTAGGTTGATGCCATACGAGGTATCAGTATATCCATCATAGTGCTTTATCTTCTGTACCTAAGACTTTACCATAGTAGCAACTGACGAGGAACGCTATAGTTCCGAAACTGCAGTCTTGCTTAAGAATTCATAACAGTCGCATAGACGACTGTTAAGCAAAAACTTAAGTAAATACCTACGAAGGAGCAACAACACATCGCGCTCCAGTTCAAAGACTCACTTATGTTAAGAAAAACTAAATGAACTGTGTGAGCCCTAAGAGAATTATCTTGACTGATGCACGATATATTTCTCCAAACTTGGTGTAGCTTAGTTTAAGCTACAGTCTGAGGATCGCACTATCCGTGAAAATTCAAAATCCTGCAAACCACACTATAGAGCTGGGCCCAGAGTCATACTGATATGGCAGGAAATAATCACATTCACGGACAAAGAAACTTGCATGCATGCATGTAGTTAATCAGACACAGTCATTTCGGAGAAATCCAAAAAAACTAAAATCTTTATTCAGCTGTAATAAACAGAGGTCAAAGGATATAAAACACTTTACAACTGCATGTGAAATCAAATCCTATCAGGGACACCTACAGAAGCATAAACCACAGGAAATGACTACTCAGTATGCATGTAACAAACTTATTTCATGACCTCTTAATATAAGACAGTGCGGCAAAAACAAGATTTACTCAGTCAAAGTTTAGAATGCTACAAGTCATGCACTGTGTAGTGCTAGTAACCTTCGCAAGAGAGACAAAAAGAAAGAGAACCACTGTTCAAGCAGATCACTCTCAAGGTCACGTTTCACATTATCACGAGCTTATGAGTCGTGTTTAGCCTGTCAACGCTTATAACTTACCTTTTCGAAAATTTCAGCCAGAAAAAAGACTCCCGAAAATTCTAGATGACCTTTTTAGGGTAAAATCAGTTAAAAATTGGCAATTATACCATTTTTTAGATGTTAGAAAATCCTAGGAGAGGCAGGGAAGCAAGGACTTTTACAACAAATGTTCCGAAAATTCTAGATCTCAAATCGTCTTCTGAACAGATATTTTCCAAAAATTGTCGTTGGGTGCCCCTGACTAAACTTAATAGCGAAATAAATGCAGTCAATACTTAAAGTGTAAGTTTCTTATTACATGTAGCTCCAAATAAATGAAAAATT